CCCCATCTCTACACAGCTCACTCCTTCCGGATAGGCGCCGCCACGCGCGCCGCGTCCCTAGGACTCCCCCATTCTGCCCTCCAGCAGCTGGGCCGCTGGTCATCATCGGCCCTCTCCTCATACATCAGGCCTGACACTTCGACCATTCTGGCAGCCCAGCGCCTCTTGGCATCTCCATAAAACACTCGCAAAACTTCCTGGTGGCGGCAGCAGCCGAGTATCCGCAAGTATTGATCACAGTAGATAGCGTTCACAGCATATAGCGATAGCGGTCACAGCATATAGCGATAGCGGTCACAGCATATAGCGATAGCGGTCACAGCATATAGCGATAGCGGTCACAGCATATAGCGATAGTGGTCACAGCATATAGCAAAAAATGGTTAGCGGTCACAGCATATAGCAAAAAATGGTTAGCGCATAACGGTCATCAGCATATAGCGATAGCGGTCATAGCATATAGCGATAGCGGTCATAGCATATAGCGATAGCGGTCACAGCATATAGCGATAGCGGTCACAGCATATAGCGATAGCGGTCACAGCATAGCGATAGCGGTCACAGCTTAGCGATAGCGGTCACAGAATAGAGCAGTCACGACGTCTGTCCCCTCCAAACCAGGCTTCGAAAACTCCATCAAACACATAGCCTTTTTGGGGATTGTGCGCGCTCCATCGCGGGAGCCTTTCCGATCTGAAGGCCGCACCGGGGCCTAGGGCGCCAAACCCCCTCTCAATAAAATACTCAAAACTTCTTGTTTTCTCGTCTCTCCAAATTGAAATGCAGCCAGCAAAAATTCAATTTGGTAGACGTCAATCAAAGTTACCCCCTCCAGGCCGGCTCGCATCCCCAGCCTATCGCTCAGCAGACGCCCCCTTCCAATCAGCCGTACCGACTACGCCAGCCGCATAAAAACGGAGAAACTCCCACTTCTCGGCTCCCGAAGCCTGCAACCACCGCCTCCCCTCCTCCTCCTCTTCACCCTGCCTCCAATCTGCCTTCAATCTGCTTCCCGCTGCCAAATGCCGCCACCAGTGCCTAAGTCCCGGGGGATTGTGCGCGCTCCATCGCGGGAGCCTTTCCGATCTGAAGGCCGCACCGGGGCCTAGGGCGCCAAACCCCCTCTCAATAAAATACTCAAAACTTCTTGTTTTCTCGTCTCTCCAAATTGAATTCAAGATACATTGTTGAAATGCTAGGCTAAAGTGAGCTTAGCAAGGCCTTTGTCTATGAATGGATTGGTATAGGCTGAGGCCTGCATGTGTTCAGCCTTGGTAGGAGAAGTATTCTATGAAGTGTAGGTTTTAATAAAGCCAACAACTGTGTGTAGCAAGAGAGCAGATCATACAACCAGAATAGCCTTTGGTGAATAGCAGTCCTTGGGTCTTGATGGTGTTGGATGGAGGCTTCTTGTCCACGGGGCCTGGACCATGCGGCTGTATCATGTGGCTGAACCAAGTCCTCCCACGATCCACAGTCTAGGTGCCAAAACTCAGCAACTTCTTCAGGTTGAAGCTGGAGGCTCTTGAAGGGTTGTGGAAGTCCTCTCAAACGTGGAGCTGAGGTTTGAGGCCATCTAAGAGGCCCAAAGCCCCTTGGTTGCCTGAGCAGAGCTCAGGGAGGTCTGGTCACTCCGTGGTTCCAAAGCAGACTGGTTTGTCTTCCCTGTGGGTCCTTGTAAGTATTCACATCTTGTAGAGTCCTTGGGGGGAGGGTATTGCCATGGCACTTAAGACATTCTTACCCACAATAAAACCTGAACCACAAGGATTTACACACAGTGGAGACAGAAGTTATAATATGTCTCAATATACAACAAAATGTCTTTGATTGAGGAAAGAGGTCATTTTAATTTCTCCTACACCTGCATTGTTTGCTCATACAAAATACAAAAGTATGTAAAAAGCACATTTCAAAGTGTGTTATCTTTGTGTCTTACCTTAAACATAAACTGCACAGACCACTTCAGTTCAGACCAATTTCATGTTTAAGTCCGGATAATAGTTTGAGCGCAGATATGTAATCCTCCATTTGGAAATAAGTCCAATGATTTTTAATTAAGTAAAACAAAACGGGTGTGTCCTCCATAAGCTCCTCTCGTGTTTCGCTAGCTGCAGCCAAATCTCGGATGCATCCAATTTCTAGAATAAACCTTACTCTTCACCTCTTCCTTATCATTCCTATCATCATTGGAAGTATAAAATTATCAAAAAATGTGCTATATGTATGTTAGCCAAACCTTAGCAGAATAAGAACAAGAAAGGAGCTTTCTGATGAAATTGGATGCAGTCGAATTCTGCACTCAGATGCGCCCCCTGAGACTTGCCTCACTTGGTGACATTACAAGCCATGGTTAAGCACGATTTAGACCCGTATTTGTCGTCAAAAACACAATTTATGACTCTCCATTGAAATCCATTTTTAACTTGTGTTGATATGTTGTTTTTACAATTGCTAAACATTATTTTGGTCTTTTTTAAAATTGAGTGACAATCTGCTAAACCACATTTTTAGTTTGTCCATCTCCACAGTTATTGTGGCCAAAAGTCCCAGGTCATCATCAGAACGTATTACATTTGTGTTATTTTTCATATTTCATGTATGTACATCAGCAATAATGTGGGTCCCAGTGTTGACCTTTGTGGCACTCCATAGATCATGTCCCTACAGTCACATGTGTGTTGGTCAATCTGAATAATCTGTCGTCTCTCATACAAGTAGCTTTGTAACCAATTTTTTGGCTGTCCTCTTATGCCATAGCTTTCCAATTTGTTTATTAAAATAATTTGTATTTAACATATAAGTTTTAAACAGCATATGTACACTCAAAGAGGCTGCACGTGTCATTAATTCACTCCCCTACTACTGTACTGTAGCTACAGCTGCCCTGGGGCTCACTGACAGAAGCTTGGCAACCAGTCTGTGCCATCAGTCTCTCCGACCACACACACCAGACTCATTTTAATGTGGGTGAAGTGTCTTGCCTAAGGACACAACCACTCTCTGCCACTGTGTGGCACTTTACAGCCACAAGCCGTACATAAGTACTAACCAGACCATGCGCACTGCTTAGCTTCAAAGGTCTGACAGGATCTGGCTTTCACCTACAGGTACAGTATGAACACAAGATATTAAAGACACAACATTAACGTATGATTCATTTTGATGTATAATCTAATAAAATAAAAAAATTGAATAATGTTTATTATATAGGACAAGTAACATGATTTGAATAAAAGTAAATGTAGTGAATCTGCCACTGGTCTCTCCTCCACGTTCACAATAACCTACAATAATGAAGTCATAAATATTGTCCCTGACGTCGGCCTGAGCTCGGCAGACTCCCACCTCCTTCCCTCGGTCTCATTCTGTTCTCTCTCTGTGTAATGTGAACTCTGAGCACTAATTAATGGTGAAACGCCTGTTGGGCTCAAACGGCAGCCGGAGCAAAGGCATCGCCATGGAGACCAGAGTGGAGCCGACAAATTCCGAGGCTCCACAGGTCTGATGCCGATGGGCAGCAGCGAGGTGCATCCAGGGGCTTTAGTGTCTGCTGTGCTCGTTCTCAAGTTCATTTGGTGTCCAACTGTTTTGTTGAGATAAAATTCTGAGTGTAATTTTTAAGGAGAAGCCACTGATGAGCTATCTTCTCTGTGTGCCGCCAGGTTTATGGTGCAATATCTCTGGAACTGAACAATTATGAGTAAGAACGTTTAAGTCGTTTATTCTCCCAACACCGATGGATTGAAGCTGTTGTTTTTTGTTTTGGCTTAAAGTTACTCAATGTAATATTTCCATGTTTGATTAGTGAATAGCTTCTAATAGATTTCCTACAGTTTTCTATTTTTATTGTTTGAAACTCATGCATTCAGTCAAACATGAAAAAAAAACTAAAAAGGGTATGTGTCCAAAGTTAGTTCTTTCTATTGAGGTGAAACGCCACATCAGAATCATTTGTATTGCCATGTAAGTAACAAGGAGTCACAGACCAGGAAATGGCTTTGGCTCTCGGTGCAAACAAGTCAAAAGTAGAGAATAGGATAAGACATAATAAAAAATGTCTCAAGTATAACATTTTCTATAATGTAAAAATTAAAATTAAAACAATTATTACTATATACAAATACACTCGATTCACGCAGTAGGCATTAGGCAAAGCATTATGTTTATAAAGCTCTCCCGACAACCACATCACTTGCATCAGACTAATTAAATCTTGATTAAAATGCACATAAAACACAGACGCACAGATTGATTTGTGAAAAACAATTTGGATTCCAGTGTTTGAGCCTTACGAGAGGCCATTGAAAGCATCACAAGGCTCCAGCTGCTCATCGAGGCTCATGGATACAGGATTTTAAAGTTGTCAGACCGGTTATAAACAACAATAACGAGAGTCCAGATTGATTGTGCTTTGTAAAGGTACTTCTGAAACATCTAAAATGGGACAAAAACACTGATCAGGCTGAAAGCTCATCAGCATCTCTTCTTTCTGAGGAAACTTAGAGAATTTACCACAAACTCTAAGATTCTACCATTGAAAGTTTGCTTGTTGGTTCTGTGACTATGTTGTTTGGTAACATCACAGACAAAGAAAGGAGACCAGAGTGAGAGACCAGAGTGAGAGACCAGAGTGAGAGACCAGAGAGGGATGGTCTGCTCTGAAAGAAGACTGTGATATTTCTGTTTTGAAGGTTCTTTATGGATCAGACTCTTAAATCCAGCTTAATCAATGACTCCTCTGGCCCCTAGAGCCATGTTCCAGCTTCTTCCCTCTAGCAGATGATGCCGTTCATTGAGAAGTAGGACATCTGAATATGATAACAACTTATTTCAGCTGTTATCAGTCTGATGTGTTTATTTCTGTACTTTATTAGCTTGTTCTATGTATGTACTTGTCTGGTGCACACTGGAGACTCTTGCATATGTATTCCAATGTGGTTTTACTGCAATCAGCAAATATACTGAATCTCATCCTGGGCTTTGTTTGTGTTTTTCAGGTCAGGAGCGAATAGGAATTGACTCCAAGTACGAGCAGGAGGGAAAGGTGCAGTTTGTGATCGATGCGGTCTACGCCATGGCTCACGCCCTCCACAACATGCAGAAAGACCTTTGCTCGGAGAACTCTGGATACTGCCCCGACATGGAGCTCGCAGGGGGCAAGAAGTTGCTCAAATACATCCGCAGTGTCAGCTTCAACGGTGAGTAATGAAATTAATAGTAACTTGGTTTTCTGGACATTCAGAGAGAGACCAGAGAGAAAGCAGAGAGAGACCAGAAGGAAACCAGAGAGAGAGATCAGAAAGAGACACTCAAAGACGCTGCTCTCCTTGTCAATATTCATTTACTCCAAACAGTAGAGTAGGACACAGCGACTATTTGGCACTTTACAGCCTCAGCCACCCCACTGTGGCACCTGGTGTTCCCAGAGGTCTCCCATCTCAATACTAATCAGACACTGCCTTGCTTAGCTTCAGAGGTCTGACAGGATCAGGCTTTTACACTGTACTGTTACGTCTAAGACAGGTGATGTCAAAACCGGCTGCAGGTTTTCTTTCCAACCAAGCGGGAGTACAAGCAGACTCATTTCCGCAAGTCTCCAGGTTAAGATTGGGCTCAAAAACTGCAGCCGCACTGGTCCGTCCTCGGAGCTTAAAGACCTTATGCCGGGTTTTATTTATTTAGAAATACAGTTTTAATACCATTTTATATTAGAAGCGAACTACTAAAGGTTTCAAAATCAGTTGTTGTTTTTTTTGTCTGATTCCCCCAAATCAAAATAACCCCATAGCAACGCCCTTAGAGACGAAAAAACTTCACAGCCCTTGGTGACGTCATAGTGGGTACGTTTCAACGCTGTAAGTTTTTTACAATTTGGTATTCGTTCTTTTTTTGCGGATATTCAAGATGACAAGGCCGTGTACAGCGAGTATGAGATTAGTACTAGATTGTGATCTTTCGTTGATACTGAGATAGTCCAGTGGTTGTGTCGATGGATTGCCAATCCAGATACTGGGGTTCAAATCAGACACATTTTCACTCTCAAAACGGCAATTTATGTGTAGTGAGCAATTGTCACCTGTAGAGGGCAGTATTGTGTTGGGCATCAGTGGAGAGAAGAGAGAAAAGGCAGTCCTGTGGCATAGATCCATGGTTTTCAATGCATGGGCGTTACCCGCTATGACGTCACACACAGGTTAGAGCATAGACAACTTAAATTCATGAAAAACACGTTCTTTATATAAAATATAGGATTTTTTTTGCCGGAATCTATTTCAGATCGACATTGTCATGCAATTTCGATATCCACAATTTTTTTTTTTAAACCCGGCATAAGGTCTTCAATGGGAAGGTATTCAATTATCTTGGAGGACTTTGCAAAGCTGGCAGTTCAACACATTTCAGAGAATCAAACTGTTCAATCAGAGAAAAGGCAACAATAACAAACACATAGAGCCTTTGTTTTAAAAAGAGCAGAGACTAATGTCCATTAATTTTGTTGGATGTCAAATATCCTGGATCAGCCTTATCCAGCCTCTCAAGATAATCCTAGTTTTGAAAAATCTTCAGAACAGATCACTGATCAATACTGAAAAATCCCCACTGGGTTTATAGGGTTGTTCCTTGCCGATGCAGGAGGGTCTATACATAAGGACAGTGATGATCCAGGACACTAAACATTCAACAACGTTTACGACAACATTTATTACCATTAGCCTCTGCCCCTTATTTGTGTTTTTATCTTTACATTTCTTGTGTTTGAACTGTTTGATTCTCTAATATGTGTCGGGGAACGGTTTTGTAAAGGGCTATTCAAGAATACATTTAATTGAATTGAATATTTACAGTAAAATTTGTCTCCTTTTAAATGCTGTATTATTGACTTGTTAAAGAGAGAGTTGAGGTGACGCAGCGAAAGCACTATCCACTGCACTGTTGAGTTATTCATGATTTTTCGGCTTTGTTTCCTGCACAAGGGGGAATGTTGGGCAGCCAGCCCTGACAGATCATTTTATCTGGAATTATGAAAGCTGCTATGAGCTCAATTTAAATGAAAAGTGTCACTTGAACTGGTGACCAAAAATTGGGTCTCAATAATTGCATAAAAAACATGATCAAAAAACACTAGGGATCGTTATCGGCAAGTCTGTGGCCTCTGCTTTAATAATGGATGAATGATTCTGGGTTTTGTTTGAGATGATTCCTTCAAGGACCTTTATCTTCAACGACAAAGCCTCAGAAACTAGTTCATTGGCAAACAGTAATTGGAGCTCACAAGTGAGAGGGAAAGTGCGCCAGAAGTAACAGTACAAGTAGATAACTGGCCACACTGTATGTAAAGAAACGGGAATGGGCAAGTAAGGCAAGGCAATGTTTTTGTATAGCGCAGTTCATACACAAGGCAAATAATCACAGCACTGTTAGGTTTTTGTAAATTAGGATCCTAAAAGGCAGAGTGGAGACTGTCTGGTATAACAGTTTATCATTTTCAGACAGAATTACTGGTAGGTAGGCTGTGGAGACGGAGGCTGGAAGAGGCAGAAGTAGGAACCAGGGCGGCACGGTGGTTGAGTGGTTAGCACTCTCGCCTCTCCTGGGTTCGAATCCCGGTCGGACCAGGGCCTTTCTGAGTGGAGTTTGCATGTTCTCCCTGTGTCTGCGTAGGTTTCCTCCGGGTACTCCGGTTTCCCCTACCACTAAAAATATGTACAATAGGTCTCCCATCTCTGTGTGGAGTGAGAAACAAATGCCCAAAATTAACAATTGTAAACCGCTTTGAGACTCAGATCTGCAGTGAAAAGGCGGTATATAAATAAAGATTACTACTACTACTACTACTACTAATAGAGTACCTGGGAAAAATGAGGAGACGATCCGTACAAAATCCCAGAAAAATACGAGCAATCCAAAAATGAGCGCAGAAGCACAAAGCACTAAATAGATAGATACACGTAGATAGACACTTTATTGATCCCCTTTTGGAGAAATTCAGTTGTCCAGTAGCAGCAATAACAATAAAGAAATGAAAAAAATAAAATTTGGGGCGACAGTAGCTCAGTTGGTAGAGCAGTGGCCTTTGAGCCTGGAGGTCGTGAGTTCGCTTCCCACCATGGGACCTACTCCAATTGCTCCCACTGATGTCTACTGTCGTTGTGTCCTTGGGCAAGACACTTAACCCCACGTTGCCTGAAGCCCCCGCTGAAAGACCAAGGCTGTTTCACCACTGACAGAGCAGCCATCTTCCTGTGGACTCACCCCCTGCAGAGGATCAGCGAGGGACTGGTGCTATGAGCATTGGGTGGCAGCTCTCATTGCCACCCCCCTGACCCAGAAATGGAAAATAAAGGGCTTGAAAATGAATGAATGAATGAAAAAATAAAATTTATCATTCTAAAAAGCAAACAATTGTAATTATCAGCAACAGTCCTTCAAGTCACAGCAGCAGAGGTGGATTGACACTACCGAACAAGACGGAATTATCTGGCGACAAACTGCTCTACGCTGAGCTTATGAACCCAGGTGGTCAGACTGGGATGAGCTGCAGGTCTGCTCAGCTGCCACAGAACCAGCCACGTCCACATCACCATCAACATTGCCTGCATCACAAACACAGGGAGAGCTGAACATAAAAGAATCCAAATCCTCACAAGTACATTAAAAAGAGTGAAGATGGCCAGTGCCAGCGTTTCTCTGATTGTTTTCACCCATGACTGTGTTTTTCCAAGATTGCTGAGCATTAGGCACTTTTTCTAATAATATAAAACAGTATGTATTAAGAATGCTTCTCCGCTGCTCTCTCTGTGACTGTGTTTTGACTGAAAGCCTCATCTCTGTACCGTGACCCTCCCCCACGCCTGCAAATGTCGTGTCCCTTAGCTCTGGTCCCGCAAGAGAAAGCAGTGACCTCTGCATCAGCTCTGGATCCGAAGCTGGTCAGATCAAAGCTGTCCTCACATGCCAAAAGCAGCTCATGTGTGTGTGTGTGTGAGTGTGTATGTTTGCATGTGCTTGTGAGGCCCTGTTGTTTGAGACCTGCTTAGATCTGGTCTTGGTCCTGGTTCAGAATTTCTGGATACGCAAGAGGCCAAAACCCATTATTAGAATACTCTCAGGCTGTGCTTCTGTCTGGTAATTATCAATCAATCAACCTTTATTTGCAGGGAGTTTTTCCTACCCAACGCAACACACAGTCCTTCACAGCCCCTATCACATAAGGCATGCATAATAAACACTAAAAACAACCATTATCTCCGACACCTGCATGACACATCATTACGTGTACATTTGGGAAAGCCCCTTGAGACGCAGCATCTCATTCTCGAGAGGGTCCCATAAACATAAACGGACACAATACACATAATACAACACAAATCACGTTTACAACACATTCAGGATAAGTTGCTTCCTCGGACCCCACGCCACACTCGACAATAACACTACATTCTGAAAACATGAATCATTGATGTATACAATAATCAGATACAGTACATACATCAGCAGCAGGTGGAGTAATGCAACTCAATCAGGAGAGACTCGACCAGACAGAGAATTGCATATTGGTAATCTAACACTACATGAATTAGCACATACGACTCTGTGGACATTTTGTGCATGCTGTATGAGAATTGTGGTTAAGATTTGGCACTTAGACCCTGGCAGAGAAAGCTGAAAGAGATTATGAGATTAAATTTCCCCGGGCCTCGACCCTGGTGGTGGTAGCAGGGAGAAGGATGAAAGAACTGCCCCGGAACGAGGCGGAAATGGGGAGGAGGAGGGTTGCTGCGTGACTGATTGCTGTTTCCGTGAAGCAGCAGTGGGAAGATTTATACAGACGACTGGTGGGCAAAGGAGCGCCAGGCAGCAGATCAATTGCGCAATCGTAGGGACGGTGTGGGGGTAGACCTTGTGCCCTTAGCTTGTTGAACGCCTCACCCAGATCATGATATTCAAGAGAGACAGTGGATAAGTCAGGAGGACAAGGTGGAGAAAAAGAGTCTGGTTCACTGGAGGTTATGGCCGACTGGAAACAATTAGTGTGACAGAACACACTCCAGCTGGAAATATGGGTGGTCACCCAATCAATGTGTGGATTATGCATCTTTAACCAAGGTAGTCCCAAAACTAAAGGGGCATGAGGTGAAGGAAGAACCAAAAATTGGATGCTTTCCCTATGATTACCAGACAGAACAAGAGTTAGAGGAACCTCTCTCCATTCAAAGCATTAACATCTCGAGGGCGATTTAAAGGCTCCACAGGAATATTGGCTTGTGAGACAATGCTAGCATCAATAAAGTTATCGTCTGCCCCCGAATCTACTAGTGCGACAAGAGAGATGGACTCACGTGACCAATACAGTGTAGATTGGATCTGTAGCCGTTGTGGAGTAGAAATAGGGAGAGAGGAAGTTTGGCTCACTAGTACCTCTCCATGTACTGGCGAGCCATCTCTTTTGGGAACTGGGAACAGGAGCTTTAGTGTCCAGCTTGTCCGCAATAAAAGCACAACCCGGACATTTGGCGTCGCTGTCCTTCCGCAGGAGTCGAGTCGAGTCCGTCCCAGCTGCATAGGTTCCTCTCCAGTGGATTGCTCAGGAGGACTAGGACGCACAGGAGGAAGGTTAGTCTGAACGCTTGGGGAAGAGGAAGAAGACTGAGGCAGGGAGAGTACACGGGGTAAAGACTGTCGCCCCGCCTTCTCTCTTTGTCTCTCTCTAAGTCTATTATCCAGGCGGGTGGCCATGGAAATAAGTTCATCAAGAGTGTCCGTTTCATCTCGTGCCGCCAGCTCATCCTTGACTCTATCTGACAATCCCCTCATAAAGGCTCCTTGTAAAGCTGTGTCGTCCCAGCCACTTTCTGCAGCTAAAATACGAAAATCAATGGCATACTGCGCAACAGCTGAGGAGCCCTGTCCGAGAGAGAGTAGTCTTTTAGTGGCTTCTTTGCCCTTAAGTGGGTGATCAAAAATCTTCCTCATTTCCTCAGAAAATGCAGCATAAGAGTGCCCAACAGGTGAGTTACTTTCCACAACAGCAGTATCCCATTGTGCGGCTCTTCCAGTGAGTAAACTTATCAAAAAGGCAATGCGGGACTTATCTGTGCCGTAGGTGTTAGGTTGTAGGTCGAACACGAGGGAGCACTGGAGGAGAAACTGCCCACAGGATCAGAGATGACCAGAATAGCGTTCTGGTGTGGGAATGTGTGGTTCACGTGCAGCAGAGGAGGCAGGTTGGACCGGAGGGGGAACCGAGGCTGGAGGTGCAGTTGCGGCAGAGAGCTGAGAGGAAAGCTGATCCAATTGATTAGAGAGTTGGGTCACACTTGTAGAAAGTTCACGTAGCTTTTCCGTAACCTCCCGAAGAATAGTCTCATGATGGCCCACTCTGGTACTTTGTGAAGCCAAAGCCTGACGGATGGGGTCTAGCTCCAATGGGTTCATTTGGCCAGATTCTTCTGTTATGGCTCAGTAGAGGAAGAACCCAGCAATGGACTCCAGACAAAAGGGAAAAGGTTAGTAATGGTTTTTATTGTCCAGTGAAGTAGGGGGTCGGGAGGTGGGGCAGCTGGTCTTGACGTAGAGGCACAGGTTACAGGTAGAAATTTCAGGAATCCAGTGAGATGCTGAAGAATACAGGAGATAAAGTCAGTAATCCAAAAAACAGGAAAAATGTCAAAACTTAGTAAGTAGCAGCCAAGTAAGTCACCGTGAGACGGAGAATAACAATCTGGCAGAGTCTGGCAGGTGAGCTGGATTCTTGAATGGCTCTGATTGTAGATTCAGTGCAGGTGCTCCCAGGAGACTCCGCCCAAGCGTCCACACACACACAAAGGAAAAGAGGAGGGGGGCAAGGACATGGGGAAGTAAGCACTGTCACACAGAGGGGTGTGACAGTGTGTACATTAAACCCAGCTTCAATCCAGCACATCTGTGAAAAGACCCCTGACGTAGCACCAATGAACATTCCACTTCACATGGGCCTGTGTTGCCAGTGGCTGCATTTGGACAAAGTCTGGATCCAGGAAAGTCATCTGGTGGAAGCAGTGGCTGATGGAGACAAAAGACAAGCAACCATCGGGAACTGCAATCCAGACTCTTATCGGCCGCGTCTCCATCTTGAGACTTATCATCCAGACCACAGACCTGCGCCTCCTCAAACTTTATTAAGACTAACTCCAGTACTCGATTTGATGATTTGATTTGAATTTTTTCTTTTTTTTTTTTTTTTTTTTTTTTGAAGTGTCATTACTCCGTCTTCGTAACTTTGACTTTATCTGTTTTTCTATATTTGTTTATGAAATCATCTCAATGTTAGACCTGGACTGGTTCTAGACTCATCCCAGACTGCACTGGTTCAGAGAATTCTCAGCTTGGAGCAAGTGCTAGTTACCATAGCAACACATTGTTTAGTTGAAGCAGTTAGTATTGAGTTACGTACCAGTTTGAGCATATATTAAACATAAGAACTGTATGAATAACTTACCAAACTAACAAAAAACTACTTCCATTGATTTGAATGGGAGCTGTCAAAATGACTGCTCTGGGAGTGCTAACAGTTTCAGAATTCTGGAAGTCACAGTATTAAGTTCTGCCACATAACGGTGTCGAGAAAAGCAGAATATCGTTTCCAGCAGCAACAACAGTAAAATCGTAAAAACAAGAGATATCGGCCTCTAATGTTTGAAGATGCAAATTCCAATGTTAATAAGAAGCAAGAAAAATCTGGGTTCTGCTTAATCATTGCAACCATAGTTAAACAAGTTGGGATTTCAGAATGGCATCTATAGTACAATTATTGTGATTATTTAATTAGATTTAGAGCCCATAAGATAATGCAATACATTTGCATTTCATTAGGATACGTTCTCTGTAAAAGCTTAAGCAAGCACTGGAGTGTGGGTATGCATGCATTTAATTGTATTCATGGAAATATTTATGTATCACAGACAAAAGTCAATTTGTTTTGAACACAAGCCAGTTCTATATTACACTCATAGGGCTGCAATGTTGATCTGCTTTTCATGGAAGAAACAATACCTTTTATTTGCCTATTTTTAAGACGAGAGTTTTCTACCCTCTAGACTTGTCCGCCATGTTTGGAATGAATGAATATTGACATGTGAAGTGTTTCTGAGTGTCCAGAAAATCTCCATATAAAACCAATGCATTCATATTAATATCATCATTATAGAATTGAATGCAAATGTGTCGCTGAATGCCCCTGTGGTCTCTGTGTGTTTACAGGAAGCGCTGGGACTTCAGTGACCTTCAACAAAAACGGCGACGCTCCAGGAAGATACGACCTGTTCCAGTATCAGTGGAACAACATCACGGGACATGGATACAGGATGATCGGACAGTGGACTGAGTCTCTGCAGCTCGCAGTAAGTGTCTCTCTCCCTGTGTCTGTATAAAGGTGTACAAGAGGGTGGGGTACAAAGGGGGGCCAGCAAAACAAGGTCAGTCCCTGTGATCCTCATAGTCCCAGCAGGAGATCAATCCCTGTGCTCCTCATAGTCCCAGCAAGAGGCCAGATACTGTGCTTCTCATAGTCCTAGCAGTAGGCCACTCCCTGTATCCCTCAGATTCCCAGCTGGGGGGGGGGGGTCAATCCCTGTGCTCCAATGTGCACAATAGGTATGAATGTAATGAGTGGGTGAATGGATGGTGTTTGGTGGGAGGCTTTGATGCGCCAGTGTGTACGGCAACTTTCTTCACCACCCTGTGTGGAGAGAATGGAAAAACTATCTGAACTCTGATTTGGGTGACCTTGGTCTGTAAATGCGCTAAATAAATAAACATTACTTACTTACTTACTCCTCAGAGTCCCAGCAGGAGGCCAAACCCTGTGCTCCTCAGAGTTAGTTAATTTGGCACTAACACAGATGAACTTAGGAGCCAGGCCATTGAGAGACTTTAAGCTGCTTTAAAGTCTATATGCCATATTTGACAAATGTTATCGTATGTATGTTTTAGTATATATGCATATTTTGAAATGACTGGCGAGTACAGGTTTCCAAGTTCCGATTGAGAAACGTCTGCTGAATATGTTAAATTATGCAGCCACCATATGTTTATTGCATATGTTGATTGAGAGCATAACGTCCACTCCGGTGCAAAGTGCTGATAAATTATGATGCAGATTTATACTTCAGTCATCGCCCTTGAGTACCGTATAAATCTCTACAGCGTGTTATCTTTAGCATGTTTGCGATAAAGAGCCCTGTGTGTCACCTGATCAGATGTTTAAAGGTGGCTCTCTCTCTTTTTCTTTGCCGTTTGTTTCTCAGACAGCCGGCTTTAGTCCTTCTTCATTTCAAGCACAATAAAGCAAACGTTTTTTCTTCTTCCATAGTAATATCTTGTTATAGGACACTTATAATTTAATATAGGCAAGTTTGGACAATTTCTTTCAATTTTTTTGGCATTTTATTACTGTTATACTCTACATAAAAGAGAAGAGTAATCAAGTCCAAACCTTACACCATACGTACACATTCTTCTACTTGTGCATTCTACACCATGTTTCAACTCCCTCCCGAAGCTAAATTATTCACTTCAACAGCTTGCGGAGGGCCGATGTGGCAGCAGCTACTGTTTTTAGATCCACCATTGTATCAACTAACATATATACATCTCGTAAACAGTATAATTCTGACCTGTTTCTTTGCCTCCTTGTTAGCGCTGCAGGTGAAGCTACATGCACGCACAAAAGACAAAGCATAATAGGATTTAGCTTAGGGCTTCAAACGCTGACGGAGGAGCTGCTTATTAAACCTGACGCTGAATTAGAAGCATTGTCTGAGTCGCGGAGGTGAAACGGAGAAAGTGTAAGCCCCTGGGCAAGAGTGGAGGGTGTTATGTATGGATCAATTACCCGAACGTGCCACATTGACACCCAGGCTCTGCCCTCCGTGTTGGGTTCGCAGGCTGCTGTTTGAATGATTAAAATAAAGCTGATTTATTTGCAAAGGTCTGGGTTTCAAAGACCTGCAGATAATTGGAGCAGGACTGAAGTGTTTTGCCAGTCTTTAGTCGGTGGATCCTGCGGTGATGGTTTAATGGGTCAATCAGGCAGTGTTTCAGTCTGATAGCCCCGTGTCGAGGTTTATGGGGTTTTGGCCAGACTGATCACCTCTCTGCCTCTTTATCAACTCCCAGACAGGTAGTGCTGGGAAGTTTAAACTATGTGTCTTTGTTCTCTATTGCAGCTTTCCTCTATTTGTTAAAGTGACCACGAAATAAACATGTACAATTAAAACTAGTCTCTATATATTGGCCATATAGACAACATTTTTTTTTTCCCAATGGGGGATTTTGATTGATTTTTGAAAATCTTCTTTCTACTAACTGTCAGTCATGATTAGGGGTGGGAACCTAAGGGTATCTCACGATACGATACGATACACAATACAAAGCTCACAATAACGATATCATCACGATAGCGATATCACGATATGACGATTATTGATATATTGGTCAGAAATATACAATATGCCAATTTATGGCATAACTAAAAGAAAAAATACACTTTATTTCATGATAAATGGAATGGAGATGCGTAATGTAGCCATATATTAAGTATTGATGGCATAAAAAAAAAAATATATTGAATCGTGGGAGAAAGTATCGCATTGACGATATATTGTATTGATATATCGTCACACCCCTAGTCATGATCATATGTTTGTTGGTGGCTAATGCTATTAATGAAACATATCCAGAAATGTGTCATTACACACAAACACAAAGGGAAGGATCTTAGTATTTTGTAGCTGATACCCATACCAATGTTTTATTCTGGATACATGTTCATGACGGTTGAACATGACATGTACGTAATACAGAAAAATAAAACAGTTCTTTGGTTAGCAATAAACACAGAAACACATTTTGCATGGACATGTCTAACTCATGTACATCATATTGTCGAGCTTTACCTTCCGGTGTGGTGGAGGTGTGTGGGTTAGCGAGACACACAAGGTAAGGTACGTTACAATAACAGCTGATAGTGGTTAGTCAGGATAATACACTTCGTTGCTGCCTCTGGCTCGGGTATGGACAGCGTTTGAGCAGTGTGCATACGGTGGGCCATGAGCACTTTACAACGAGTAGAACTGAACCTCACTTCTCACGATGGTAAAACGTTATCTAGATGTCGAGCTGCGTTCACGGACCTGACACTAGGCTAGGAAAATTTGAATTAAAATACAAAACTATAGTTATTGTAACTTTATGCTTACAGTATGAACATCTTATACAGCCTAACAATATAATAATTATTGTTTTTATCATAGGCTGGCGTCTCCCTGCAATAATTACGTTCAAATGAATGAATGTCTTAGTGAATGAGTCTTCTCTTAAATGCTGCTGTAGACTTTTGACAGATATTAATGGATTGGAATACAACAAAATAATTGCCCGGATGTGAGGTTTAAAATTAGGTTCAACATGCAGTGGCTAAATGAAACCATGAGAATGCAATGGTTTAATACAAATAGCCAAAAATCTGTGAAATCTTGGCTTATTTTAAATGTCTTACAAAATTGATGTGTCTAAGCAGTCACGCCCAGTCTTCCCTCTCCACACACACACTTCCTCCAGCACATCTGGGGGAATCCGGAGGCGTTCCCAGGGTCCTGGGTCTTCCCTGTTCTCCTCCTGGTGAGACATGCCCGGAACACCTCCCAAGAGAGTCGTCCAAGAGGCACCCCGAACAGTTGCCCAAGCCACCTCGGACTGGTTCCTCACCATGTGGAGGAGCAGCAGCTCTACTCCAAGCTCCTCACCCTATCTCTAAGAAAACGCCCAGCCACTCTGCAAAGGAAGCTCATTTTGACTGCTTGGTGAGGGAGGGAATGTAGACTCAGTGGTTAATAGAGAGCCCTGACCTCAGACGCTGCTCCCTCCTTCCCACAACAGTCCGGTACAGCTCTGGTTGCAGACGCTGCTCCCTCCTCACCACAACAGCCTGATCAGCTCTCACTGCAACGACAGTATCACTGCACACGCTGCACTGACCTGTCAAAAGTATAGTAGGCAATTACTATAGTGTGTCGCTCCATGTGATTCTGAACCGCCTCACGTTGCACATCTCTATTATTAGTGTGTGGACCCTGAGCGCTGAGGCAGACAGAGACTGACACAATATTTGGCATCCGTCTTAATAATGAGCCGATGTTGTTTGAGAAATATGTAGCAGTAAAATATAGAGTCGTAAAGAACACTCACAGACGCTTTCCCACTCGCCATCTCTCCCATAAACATAGTATAGCATATAACAAGTGATTGGATTTGTCTCATTGTGCTTGAAAATCTTCTGAGACAACGGCAGGTGGTGAGAGTTTAATTCAGAACTCTGCTTCCAGTCTGACTCATCACATGTTTAAAAATGTACATTAAAAAAAACCCATAAAAAATGGTTGCATAACGTCCTTAAATGCACTTCCCCCCTACACTCTTCAAACAGCAGCAGCAAGTACCAGCATTTTCTGGGTTTGTATTTATCTCCAATCAGACTTTTTTTTTCATTATTCCATCTGATTGGAGATAAATACATACCCAGAAAATGAGAGCGAGGGGTCACATCAAGATTATGAAACTGGCAGCAATAACAACGCTTCACACTCAACAAGCTGGAGACGAGGATCCTCCCATTCTCTGTGATCACATCTGTCCGTCATCGCAGTCCAACCTGATTGAGAATCAATGTTTTTTGTTATTCTCTGTGTGGAAAGTGGGAAGTACAAGAAGAGAGAAATGAGGAACTCGATTGGTTGTATGTGTGTGTGTGTTTCAGGCAATGGAAGCAGCAGAAACGCATGCAACATTAAAATATTCAATCATATTTATTTTTTGGAACAACCTAAACAAAATTTGCCATTGGGACAAAGCCATTTATTTTGACTAATGTCCATTAAGTAAGTAAGTGAGTAATATCTGTTAACCCTTGTATTATGTTGAAAAAAAATGACATTGATAATGTTGCGGGTCATTTTGACCCGTACTGCGTAAATGCACTCAAAACAGTCAAGAAAACAGGTTAAACCAATAATAACTTTATTTTAGGTTATATAAATATTTAGAAAAGTGACATACAATATTTTTTTTTATTCCAATGATATATTTAAGAAATATTTAGTCTAATCTTCTTGTCCTCCTCTCGGGTTAAAATGACAATTCTTCCCTCCCTCTTTCCTCCTGCCATGCTTTCTCCTTCCTTTTTCTCATCCTGTTTTCCTTCTCTCTGTTCATCCTCCTCTATTCCCTTCTTTTCTTTTCCTTCCTTCCTTCCTTTCTCCCTTTTTTCCTTCCTACCTTCCTTCCTTCCTCCCTTCCTCTTTACTTGGCCAATGATTCATCCTCTGAATCCTCCTTATCGTAA